TATCTGGTTACGATATCTTGAGTATTGTGTGGGCGCATGTCGCCAGTTGCTGTTTCGCTGTTTGCATACATGACAAGTGTGAAGAAGTCGAGTATGATTGCACAATGTTCACTGCAACTGCTGTTCTGTTCAGGTGAAGACGGTTGTGCGCAACAGCACTTCCACAACAAGCACAAATGGAATACATGTTGACGGCAACGACTGCTGTGATTTGTTTGTTTGTATGTCACAGTACATGACAATTGAGCTTCCAGCTGTTGGACTTGTATACCCGGGGCTACCCGGAAGCCTGCCGGATTGGGTCTGTCAGCCTTTTTTTTTTTTTGACATTTTGGGAATCTTCGCCGACTCCACTGGGACCAGGGGATTAGGAGCGGGGGTGCACCAAAAAAAAAAAAAAAAAGGAAAAAGGATGTGTGCGACAATGAATCAGAATAATCGTTTGAAATTCCATCAGGAATCAGGATCTTGTGGTTGGGTTTGTGGTTTGCTGAAGATTGTGGTTGATTGTTGGTTTCATGGCTACGCCGGAGCCGTACCCGGACATTTCCGGACATGGAACCGGACCCGTGTCCGGTAGTTGCCGGATGTCCGGATATGGGGGATATGTCCGGACCTCCGGAATTGGGGGATCTGGACGGACACTGTCCGGATGTGTGGACAGGTCCGGAAATGTCCGGACCATTATTAAAAAAAAAAAAAAAAAAACTGAAAAAAAAGTATGCGATCTAGAATAACAATGCAAATCACTTTTGCCTCGGAGTCATGTCAGAATCCTAACCAAACTTGAGTTACAAGTCGAAAACTATAAAAAAAGCTATAAAAAAGACTTTAAAAATTTAAAACTAATAAAAGGTAATGAATTATTAATAATTAAAAAATTGGGGTTGTCTAATAAATTATTATAGATCGAGAGCATGTCTGGACCCCCCCCAAAAAAAGCATAAACGGGCCTGAAAAACCTCCAAAACAATTTTGGGGGCTTGGCACCTCAATGGGGAAGGGTCCTGGACCGTTTTTTTTTTTTTTTCCTCGAATTTTGGCAGATCCGGACCTTCCAGACCGGACGTCTGGAGTCCGGACTGAATCCAGACCGTCTGGACGGCAGTCCGGACGTCCGGATCATAGCCATGGTTGGTTTCCTTTCTTTTTTTTTTTGGCTTCCTTTTTTATTTGTTTTTTTTTTTACTTTTTTTTTTGTAATGAAATTCCAACAGGATTGTTGGTTTTCTTTGTGGATGATTCTTGATTCTTTGGTTTCCTAACGATATATAGCTCTTCCATTTGCTGTTGGTTCATTTGGAGTAAGCAGGAGCAGCAATCAGAGAAACCAGGGGATGCAATTGTGAAAATCTTTGTCCTATTTAAGACCATCACAGGTGGGTGAAGATTCTGAACACTGACCTTCTTTTTCTCTTTTTGTTTCCCCCTTTTTTTCCCTTCAAACCTGACCCTTGTTGAAGTCATAGCTCTTGCTTTTTCTTTCTTCTTCTGTTCATCTCTTCTATTTGTCTTTCCCTTCTCGTCTCTCTCTCTCTCTCTCTCTCTCTCTCTCTCTCTCTCTCTCTCTCTCTCTCTCTCTCTCTCTCTTAAAGGTCCATAATAGTCCTTAATATTATGGCCCTGGCTCCGTATGCATTGTGCGGAGCGTCAATCGGGTTCTTATTGTCCTGGCAGGTCAGGAATATACATGATTTACGCACTCCCAGCAGAAGGATCCCTGAGCAGAATCGATTACTCCCTGTTTTTTTTCGTAGTCTTGTTTTTTCTTCACGAAAAGAACGAAGAAGAGGTTATGTTATGTCCAAGCAGGCTGGCATTGTCCCCTGTTTCACGAGGTCCCCTTTCTTTTCTCCTTCCTTATTATTCTGCTTTTGTTTTAGGTTTTCTCTTCTGAGCGATGCTTTTTTGCTCCTCTCTTCTATTTGTCTTCTCCTCCTCTCTATTTGCCCATTTCTCGTCTCTTTTTCTACTGCTCTTTTTTTTCTTCTTTTTTTTTCCCTACAGCTCTTGTTTTCTTTTTTTTGAAAAGGGTGCTAGGTTTTCTCTTCTCCTTTTCCATTAAAAAAAAACGAGTTACATTCGTTTACCATTAAAAAAGAAAAAAGAAAAAGAAAGGACTCTTTTGTAAGGGATGAGATCACCGGTTCGAGCCCGTGTGGCCACGGATTTGGTTCCTGGCAAACATACTATTAGAACGTACGGTCGTCATTATCGTGGAATCTAGACTGCTTGCTGCCCCTCATACATTGTCTACCTATCGCCCACCGGTGGGGTTTTATCCCAACTGTCTTCACCCGGATAGAATGTACGCTCATTATCACTGTATCCACACTGAACGTTGCACCGAATCCGTTGCAGTCGACCCTTCGACTGTTGCTGCAATAAGCGCTGACCTGATGCAATGCTGACCATCGGAAAAGGGAGTGGGAAATATCCACTGCTCTTTTATCTGACTGTTCTTTCTTTTTTTGTTTTTGCTTCCAAACCGACCTCAATTGCAGAGTCACAGAAGGCTTTGAAGGCACTCGATAAGCGGTGGTTCGGCGGCAGGCAGATTGAAGCAGAGTGAGTAATTCCTGCTGCATTGAACCTCTCAGTGCTACATTCCCTCGTCCCTCGGCTTGTTTGTCGTATCTTCTGCGTCTGGCTATCAGCTCTCAGTCTTGGGCTCAACTTTTTCCCTTCTCTCTCTCTCTCTCTCTCTCTCTCTCTCTCTCTCTC